AAGCCTTCATGTTACTTTGTTAGGAGACCACTTTTTAAAGGGAATCATACTTAATAGATCAAGTCTTGGGGAAGAAATCTACATTCATCGAATGGATTCGAATCCTTCTAAATGCAATCTACCATTTCAAATTAAGAGGAGATAGTTTCCATGCATTTTATCATTTGCAATGACAATAAATAATAGTCAAGGACAAGCTTTATCGAATGTTGGTGTTTATCTACCTAAGCTTGTTTTCTCTCATGGCTAGCTTTATGTTGCTTTTTCTAGAGTCAGATCAATAATGGATGGACTTAAAATACTTATATATGATGTAAATTTCAAACCGAAAACTGTCACAACGAATGTTATTTTTAAGGAAGTTTTTCAAAATCTCTAGTGAACTCTTTTTTTTTATAGGATCAAATGAGATTGTATTCATGCTTAGATTATCATTGCCTATTTAGTGGTAATATACATCTGAATAACTACATAATTTTTTAGTCTAGCATGCTTTGTCCATCATCATTATAATATATTGCTTCAATAAAAGTTGCAATCCTTAGTAATTAGAATTTTTTGATTCGACCTGATGTTTCACTACCTTAACAACAACATCTTTCATAACACATATTTAGTGTTTAAAACCAAAAAAGATAAAAGATTGGAAAACTAAAGATTACAAGAACTGAAAACCATTGATGAAGCAGAGAGGAAGTAACATAATCAAGAAATAGGCCAAGAGAATGGATATTCAATTCATAACATATTAAAAGGGAAATGTAGTATATGCACATTCATTATGTACTAATTACTTACAACTGAACTATGTTCAGGATAGACAAAAATGACTGATAATTGGGTTAATAAATAAAGAGTTAATTAGCAAATAGGACTTTGAATTCTTAAAATATATAAAATAAATCTTAAATTTTTAAATTTTTAATAAAATAAAATTTAACCATTAACCTTTTTAACACCATTATTGTTCACACGGGTACTATAAAAGTCAAGGTTAAATTTATAGAAAAATAAACCTTAAACAGTACTTGCGTGAATAGTAATGGTATTAAAAAGTTAATGGTTAAGGTTTATTTTGTTATGAATTTGAAAGTTTAGGATTTATTTTATATATTTTAAGAGTTCAGGGTCCAAAGCAATTTTTGAGTTGTAGTTTAAGGTCTTATTTACTCATTAACCCATAAATGAATTCAAGTAAACGTGACCCATTCACAAAAGGATCAACCAAGAAAAGCTGAAACTAAAATATCAATAATAAAGCATTCCAAAAGCATCTTTTTCAGATTCAACACTAAGAAACATCTGAATGAAATCCATCTATTTCTCCTCTAAAGAGATAAACAAATTTGCTATCACTAGGATTGGTTGGATAAACAATCACCTTACTAACATTTGCATAGCTCTTGTCACCTTCTTTCCTACATATTTAAACTCATGATGTTAATAAACAACTCAGAGGAATCATTACTAATTTAAGTTTATAAAAAAAAAAGGTGTCATAGTGTGACACATAACATTATATCACCTTCAATCTCCAACTCACTGAATAAGTACAATTTTAACATTCTCATGCCTTTGTACTATATTTCTTGCATGTGTCAATAGCTAAGTCATTGAGTAGAATGCATTTGATTTGATTACCCCTGTATTTAAAATTAGTATGGTGAAGAAAAAAATAAGCTCAAGTGACAAAACTATAACATTAAAATTTTGCATCTTATAATAATTAACAGACCTATTACATGTCAAAAAGAATTTAAATTTCTCTTGAAACCATCTTCTCTCTCATAGAGCTCGAATTGATTCATCTCATCAATAATTTCAATTACATTTAAAATTAAATTAATAGATATATATCTATAATTAATTTGAAGTTATTTAACATGAACTGCATAAATCAACAAACTATAATAGAAGATCACTTCTTTTCAGTTGATCTCTTCAAAATTTCAAATTGAGAAGTGATGTTATCCTCCTCTTTTAATGAGATATTGTTCTTTCATTAAAAACAATAATGAAAGTAATAACTCCCCCCTCCCTCCTAACAATCATTTCAAACCTTCGGAACAAACGCTAATCTTTGACCATTGCCTTGATTTTAGTAAGCTATTGGTAATAAAAGAAATTTAAAATAATCAGTACGTATAAATGACATGGCAGAATATTTCTAAAAAAAGAAAATTCAATGTTTCATCAGATATCATAGAAAAAATTAATTATATCTCTCTATTAATAAGAATCTAGTTTAAGCCCATTGTTTGTGGTGGGTCCGACGGCCTAATGTTTTTGTAAGCATGTCATCACTGCATGGGTTGCACTCATTTAGCCGACTCTAGAGAATTAACTTCCCTGGCATACGTCAGCTTCCTTTCCATCAACCCTCTGTCACTCACCTGTCATAATTTCAACATTTTGACCCCACTTTATTGAGTCGATGCGCTTGAGATGGAGTTCTATGTATGTATTTATCTCTATAAGATTCTTGAAAATATTTCTCATCTTTGGCAGATTCACTTTCGCTTATTTTGTTTCTTACTATGGTAGCAAAGGAATACCATGTTATAATATATACAAGCCACTACAAAAAAAATTGAACTCATAATCTCCTTCATTTATGTTTCATTATTTTGCTACTAAATTAAAATAAACATGCAGTTTATTATTATATAATTAAATATATATTATTAAATAAAACAAATACGCACATATATTAAACATTAAATATTATAATATAGATAATTATACATTATATCATAATTATTTATTTTTGGCTTGTTTTAATTAAAATTTTATTTTTACTTTTAATTAACAATAACTCTCAAGTAATGTAATTGACTTGTTTTTACATTGCATTTTACTTTTTTGATTAGTTTTTATTTTTAAATTATAATTTTATAAGAAAAATCAAATAGAAAAATCATATAACATTGCATACATAGATATGTTTCATTTATTCTAAAAATTAAAATTAAACTTTTAAAATATCTCATTTTTCTTTTTTTCGTTTTACTCTTCCCTACTATTAGATTGAATTGGAACCTTTAAACCAGCATCAAGCTTCAAAGTTATCGATATTAAATATAAAATTTAAATTAAAAAATTAGATTAATTAAAATATCATTCTATGGATGAATAAAGTTAACTATCACATGTTTAATTATTATAAATAAATAGTCATAAAACATTTGAAAATAAAACATCATATGCATTCCAAAATAAAATATTAAACAATATGTTTTTGAATAAATTTATTACTTTACATATGGCCGTACATTAGTCAATTTAGTTAGATTTGGAGTTAATTGACTAAAATTAATTAACCAAACTGGCCTAAATAGTTGAACCAAATCAAACTGAACATTACTTGATAACAAAAATTGACTTAAAATAATATGGTTTAGCTTGATTCTTAAGTTCATCTCATTAACATTAAATAATACTTGAACTTTATTTTAAAATAATTTCATTATTTTAAAGTATTAATTTAACCATAACATATATTAAATAAAAGCTCATTACCTTATTTTATATATTCATCATAAAATTATAGTAATACAACAAAATTAATGTCTTAAAATGTTAAATATTAGATTAAATAAAAAATAAAAAATATATATAATAATATCTAGTAACTATTAATTGTCATGAAAGTCATGCTTTCTATAACGACTCTAAAAAGTCACCACTAATTTGTAAACTTTTAATAGTGACATGCACTTATTGCTGTCAAAAGTTTGACAATAAGTGACAACTTTATATTTTCACCGTAAAAAGTCACACTTTTAACTGCGACTTCAATTATCACTGCACAAGGTTAAACTTTTAGCGGTGACTTTTATGATCACCACAAATAGTTCAGTTTTAGTAGTGACTCTAAAGGTCAAACTTTTAAGGCAACTTTTATGACCGTCGTAAATTGTTCACTTTCAATGATGGCTTTTTAAAGTCACCACTGACAATTATCATTAAAAGTTTTTTTTTAATAGTGAATTATGCATTGTGGTGGTGCTCATCTTCATGATTATATGGAAATAGTGGGATTTGGAATATATTCCCATTTTGTCAGAGTTGAAAGTGGTCAAAAGGCATAACTTCAAAACTTGCATATCTGGTTTATTTACAAAGATCTCTAGCTCCTAATTATGCTTCAATTGGAACGCAAATGCATTTTGAGACAATAAAAACGAATTTCTTCTCACATTTAATTTCCCTCCTCTTGATGACAGCTACTTAAGAGTTATATAATGTGGCAGTTTTAATTGTGCCGATCTTTGTAGAATATCAAAGCACCAGATCATCATGAATTGTCAGCGAGTGATCGAAGACATACAATTCAAAACTACAAGGAATGCCTGGTTTCTCCCCTCCCATTTGTTGGCTGGACCTTTTCTAAGCTGCCTGCGGAATATATAGAGTATGCACATTCATTTCTCTTTTGGTCTTTTATTTGCCTTGTTCATTTCATGAGTTTGCACGCGTTGACCAAATAATGTGTATTTGGAACGAGGGAATACTTCTTTTTTAACTACAATATACTACTACTACTGGCAGGGCAATGTGTGACGAAGCTGTCTTTCGAAAAAAGTAAACGAAAACCTGAAAATTAACCTGAGCGTTGATGGAGAGCATGCATGGTGTGGTATTGTAAATGGAAAATGGTATTAAGATGAGGTTCATGAAATCATCTTCCCACGTACTTGATCGTACGCATCGCTATTTAACAGATGGCGGAAATGTCGGACATCTTTTCTACGAGGCCTGAACTCGAAGAAGCAACACTGAAATATCATGTGTGAATTTTATGACGTAGCGTGTTACGGGAGTTAAGGCCCAACAGTTTGTAAAGGGCTACAACTAGCAACGTCGACCCAGTACGGAGCAAGGAAATAATCAAATTATACTTTTTTTTTTTTTTTTTATAATGAGATAGGAGGAGGAGGGGGAAGAAACCGCCCACTTTAACAGAGACGTTGTAGTAACCGCTTGGCTCGATCCATGTTCATGCATATAAGCCCCTCCTCCTCCATCGATAAAACTTTTTTTGGTGTCTTTCCAACAGGTAACTGAGTCTGATCGCAATGTCCAACTCCGAGTCCGGAGCCGTTGCCACTCCGAGCAGCACCCAGAAACAGCACTGTCGAAGCAAACGAAAGAAACGAATCACCGTGACGGAGCAGGGCGTGGGTTTCAAGCCCAACTACGCCAAACAACCCCACCCTGATGCGCCTGTGATTACCCGCCCGTGCACCGAGTGCGGGAAGAAGTTCTGGTCATGGAAGGCTCTCTTCGGCCACATGCGGTGTCATCCTGAACGCCAGTGGCGCGGCATCAACCCACCCCCCAATTTCCAGCGGCAACCTCCTCCGGAGAAGCAACCACCGGAATTCATGACCCCAGAAGACCACGAGATCGCGGCCGGTCTGTTGTTGCTGGCTAACTCGGACGGGGCGGGGCCGTCGCGCTTCGAGTGCTCCAGTTGCAAGAAGGTGTTCGGGTCACACCAGGCTCTGGGAGGGCACAGGGCCAGCCACAAGAACGTGAAGGGGTGTTTCGCCAACGAAGAAGATGATGAGATGATGATGGCCCTGGAAGGGCACAAGTGTGGCATATGCCTGAGGGTATTCTCCAGCGGCCAAGCGCTGGGCGGTCACATGAGGTGTCACTGGGACAAGGGCGACCCTGACCCTTCCATCGCCCACCATCATCATCATCATCATCAGGGATGTGCCCTTGACCTCAATTTGCCTCCCCCTCTTCAACACGATCTGGATTTGAGATTGGGACTTTAAGGTGGGCATCACATCAACACGATCCTGATTTCTTATTACTTACTCCCAAGTTACACTGATTAATTTGTTCCTGCCAAATTCATTATTATACTCTCGTCTGGATATATAATGTATTATTTTGTATTCGGAAATCAATATATATTCACCTCATCCCCTCTGCTAACTGCTCTTATGGTTGAACTAATTAATGCCATTTTGACTCTCATCCAAATTGATTTAATTACCTCAACACATGCCCACCACCATACTTTTCTTGTTACTATTTTTGAAAGAGCATTTCCTTTGCCATCCTCCCAGCATGTTATAATACCGTCACTGATGAGCCATGTGGCCGGTTAATGCATGGAAATAGGGAATGTTGTTATTGTTCAATTGTTGCTGGTTTATTGTAAACTTTCTAGTATTACTTACGAGCTCTTGATAAAGGCTTTAATTTGATCAAGTCTATCGGAATTGGGTATCGTTTTTCCTTCTAAATTTCCATCATAGAATTAGGATCGTTTGAGTAAATATTAGGATATCCACCTTTATTTTAACAATATTTCACTTGTAATCCGCTGTACATCTAGTGTTGCTTTTAGTTAAAGTTACATGTCCTTCAGTTTTTCAAATAGAATAGGTTTGATATTTTCTTTTCCTTCCCTTTCTTTCTTTTTTTTTTTTCCCCGAGATTTGCCATCTAAGCATCACAGTGAATGGGCCGGCGGACTGGGCATCATTATGCAGTGGAAAATCTTGAGGTTGTAGAGTGCAACAAATTAATTACTCTTGATTTGGGTAATGTAGCTACGGTTTATATTAGCTCAATATTATATGATTGAATCTTCAATAAAAAAATATTATATATATGATTGAATCTTTAAAATACATTATTCATTCAATTTTCATATTTAAAAATTCAATCAATAAACATAAGAACAATTAGACCCAAAGTATTTGGTGATCAAAGCTATAGAGCTTAACTCTAGTAAATCTCCAAGATAAACTCATTCAACTTGTATTATTATTAGTATTTGAAGAAAATAGTCACAATGCTGATGCAAGAGGCAGATGAAATATAGGAAGCGTTTGGACCTGAATCTGTTATCTTGATATCTAGTGTGGGTGTGACGGTTGAATGGAGGTCGCCAGCCCATCCATGTGACAAGAATCAGCAGGCTTTTCTTTAGTTATTACTATCAACTATAATATAAGGAACTTTTTATTGAATAATTAAAGTTTATTTTATTTTAATAATTATTTTTAATATATATTATTTTTTCGGTCTTATTTATAAATTATCTCTACTAACTTTATCAATACCAATATAACAAAAATACAAAGAATAAAAGTAAGTAAAATTTCAAAAATAACTCTCAAGGAAAAAGCAAAAATATACAAACCATGTAATATTTTTTTTTTCTGTTTCTCTCTTTTACTTTTCAAGGGTAGTTTGAGAATTTTAATTTAAAATAAAACAATTCCATTAGCTAGTGATTTATAAAATGAATCAGATTATGCTCTTAAAATGTGTCTAATATATAGGATCGGAGGGAGTATTATTTATTTAAAGACTAGAATAATATTTCTATTTTTAATATATTATTATTATTATTATTATTATTATTATTATTATTATTATTATTATTACACACACACACCCGCGTGCATGTATCTTCATGGTACATTGACAAACCACCCATTAATCTGGTTGGCTCAGCTTTCTTTCTGGATTATTGTATGGTCCTTTCATCTTGACGCTAGCTCATACCTGAACGTACGTGCCTAGGACTTCGTTTCTTAAGAAATCTGCGCAGTGGAAGATCCTAAATTTGATTGGCTGGGGAAAAAAGAGATCACAAATTTGAGAATTGTCCATGTAAACTCACAACATTTGGTAAACTGTCCACGGTGGCCACGAGATAAACTTTTGAACACTTATGGTCTCCTTTGGTTTAATTTGAAGTGATTGATATTATGATTTGTAAATGAGATAATATTTTGTTAATTCCTATTTATAAATTATGTTGGGTGACTATAAATTATGATTTTACTTGTAGATAATGAAAGTAAAAATGTCTGTGTTGTTTGGGATGGATGCAGAGTGATCAAATGTTTCACCCAAGTATTGATGGTGATTAGATGTGAAGTATAATGTTGGAAAACTTTGTTCAGAGCCTAAAGGGAATATCGTGGGTGAACTCTTGAATAGTTCTTTTTTTTTTGGTCCAACCCCGAACTCTCGAATAATTCTATTTGTATAATTGAGAGAAAAGGTATGACGTTTCAAATTAAAGTATCATTGGGAAGTCTGATTTTGAATTGTCTGGGATTTGTTATAAATTTGGGATTTTAAAGCCTTCATCTCAGATTCCATTTGGCATACCTTGTTCATTTAGTAAAATCTTAAATTACCATAATAGGTTTATTTTATTATATATATAATTCTTTATTACCATGGTACACTCTTTTCTACCATGGTAGTTAATTTAAAAAGGGTTTTATTTAATTAAGGAATTTTTTTACCATGCTAAATCTTTATAAAGTTTATTTGATTCTTAATTTCTATAATGGTCCCTCTTTCTACCATAGTAGGATTTTCTTTGAAAGAATATTTTTTATTCTTTTTATTATGATAAACCTTTATTACCATGGCAGTATGTTTGAAAAATAATTTTTGTCCTTTGTACTATGGTAGACACTTTTCTATAATGATAAGTGTTTTTATGAGTTATAGATTTATAAATAATCATTATGTTAGAGGAATTAAATAGGGTTGAAAAATGAAAAAATTACAATCAGGTCTCATAGAAGAAACTTAAATACAATCAAGTCTTATGAAATAGAAAATTATTTTAGAGTCCCTTAGTCCTTAGGTGTAATTTGGGTATATGATAAATGATGAAAATGAAATCTAACCCATTATTAAAACTTCCCACTTAAAGCCTTACACCAGTTATCGAACTCCTTTTATTCTCACCACTCTCACCTTTCGCTGAGTTCATCATTGAGTTCTCACCCTTAAGTTATTTTGCGTCTCGATAGCATTTCGGTGAGGGAATCAACGTCTTCGACTTGGTCGACGTCTTTAAATGACTCAACATTTTCTTCGAGGACCTAAGGTGCAATCGCTTTTCCTTTCATTCTTTCACTTACTCAACTACCCTGTTCACATATAAATCAAAACTCTCAATTATGTTTATGTCACACTGGTTAATTGCATTTGTTGTCATAGAATTTGAATCACTCACATTTTCTTTGCCTCTCTCAATAGCACCAGGTTCCCCTCTTTTTAGTTCTTTATAGGGAAATCTTTTTGCTATTTTTGGTTTTGAAATGTAATTGAATGAGTATATGCTAGTAACAAGTAGGGTGTAGGACAATAACAAGTTCACTTAAAAAATTGACAAGTAATGTACGGGGCATTAACTACTAAATTGGTATTTGCTAGTGACAAGTATGTTATAGGTGAATAACAAGTTCACTTAAAAAATTGATAAGTAATATACAGGGTATTAACTAGTAAATGGTTGTTTACTGGTGACAAGTAGGGTTAGGACAATAACAAGTTCACTTAGAGAATTGACAAGATGTATGAATGTTTTGTGGATCACTTAACAATAACATGAAATTTATATTGATGCTGTGAATGATATGACTGCTTTGTTCATATAGAATGACCTGCGACAAAAGAAAGTTGAATGCATGTGATGGCTTGTCAATCATGGTAACAATAAAAAGGAACCCATTGTGATGTCTATGTTATTAGGATCGCAACAAGACAAAAAGAAAAGATAAAAGGGTTACTTAAGTTGTGCAGATCATTTTAAGGTGGAACTATTTTGAATATTATGTACTTACCTTCTTACACTATGTTATCACTTTTTTCAAACTCAACAATTCTGGATATTGCACTTTGTAAATGCTTAGTATCAATGGTGACTACTAGTTTTAATGCTTATATTATGGTATTCACAACTTGAAATGTTTTAATTAGACTAATAATCATGTACAACTAGGCAAGGGGGAATGATAAGTCATCTTGGGCCATTCACAACTTAGTATGTTTTAAGTATAATAAAAATCTAAATAAATGTATAAATGTTGCATGCCGATTGTTCAATTGGGCAAGGGGGAATGATAACTTCCTATTCATTCATTGTCAACAGGGCTTACATAAGTATTTACAACTTCAAAATATAGAGCAACTGTAGAAGTATCATCCATGTATTTACATAATATTAATAACCCATTTCAAAAATAACTATGTGGGTTGCATGGATATAGTGCACCTTTAGATACATTTACAAAAAAACATACTATATGTATTTACAAAAAAAATACCATATGCATTTACAAAAAAAATTAGCTACATAGCCAAAAAAAATGCACATCTCTAGCATTAATTAGCATGAATTAGGGTTCTTGCAAATCTTGAAAGTATGACCAATCTCATGATATCTTCCACAATGATAAACCTTCTTCTTTTAAAATTGAGATTCATATCTTTTCATTCTAGGCCTTCTAGTCTTTGATAGCTCCAAGAATGCTTGGTTAACATATTTGTGACTATTAATACACCTAGACATGGAATATCATATATGGACATAGACCTCATGCCAAGGGCATATATTTTTTGTTAAGATGTAAACTTATAGCATTTATTACAAATGGATACATATTTTCATAAAGCAGCTTTATTATTACACATGTAAGTGCACAAGGTATTCTACTCGTTTGCCATGCCAAACAAGTGCGTTCATGTTTTGAAAGATTTACATTCAAAGGAATTATTCCATTAGGTGAAAAAGTTTGTATTAAGATCCAATTTTCTCCATGAAATTATAAATGCAAATTTTTAGCCCTCACAAATTGCTCTATCAATTTTGCATTTATATTAGATATTACCCCATCTTTCCAATTTATCATAGCCATTTTGGATTCAAGCATTATGTTTGCCAATTTCTCTCGATGCTAGTGTATTAAACCATCAACATTGTATTTTCTCTTCTTCACAATCCAAGCATTAAATGATTCAGCAATATTAGTTGTAATGTTATTTCATCATT